TAAATATTTTCTCCCAGTCTGTGGCTTGTCTTTTAACGGTCTTTTCACTCACTTAACTGTATCTTTTGCAGAGCAGAAGTTTATTTTATTGTGCTTTAGGTGAAAGTTTACAGAGCAAATTAGTTTCTCGTTCTAAAATTTATACACAAATTGTTTTGTGACATTGGTTGAATCCCTGCAATGTGTCAGCACTCTCCCCCCTTCCCTTTATACTCTGGGTTCCCCATGTCCATTCATCCAGTTTTCCTGTCCCTTTCTGCCTTCTCATCTTTGCTTTTGGACAGGTGTTGCCCATTTGGTCTCATATACTTGATTGAACTAAGAAGCACATTCCTTACAAGTGTTATTGTTTGTTTTATAGGCCTGTCTAACCTTTGGCTGAAAGGTGGACTTTGGGAGTAGCTTCATTTCTGAGTTAGCAAGGTCCAGGGGCCTTAGTCTTGGGGATTCCTCCAGTCTCGGTCAGACCAGTAAGTCTGGTCTTTTTCTGTGAATTTTAATTTTGTTCTACATTTTTCTCCCACTCTGTCTGGGACCCTGTATTGTGATCCCTGTCAGAGTCGTGGTGGTGGTAGCCAGGCACCATCTAGTTCTGGGCTCAGGCTGGTGGAGGCTTTGGTTCATGTGGTTCATTAGTCCTTTGGAAGAATATTTTCTTGTGTCTTTGGTTTTCTTCATTCTCCTTTGCTTTGGACAGGATGGGACAAATAGATGTATCTTAGATGGTCACTCGCAAGGTTTTAAGACCCCAGATGCTACTCATCAAAGCAGGATGTAGAACACTTTCTTTATGAACTATATTATGTCTGTTGAGCTAGATGTCCCCTGAGACCATGGTCTCCAGCCCTCCGCCCCAGTAACTCAGTCCCTCAAGGTGTTTGGATGTGTCTAGGAAGCTTCTATGACTTTGCCTTGGTCTAGTTGTGCTGACTTCCCCTATATTGTGTTGTTCCCTTCACCAAAGTTAGCAATTTCCCCTCCCTACCCCTCGCCTCCCTCGTAACCATCAAAGATTATTTTTTCTGTATGTAAACCTTTTCTTGGGTTTTTATAATAGTGGTCTCATACAATATTTGTCCTTTTGTGATTGACTTAATTCACTCCAGATTCATCCATATTGTGAGATGTTTTGCAGATTTATCATCGTTCTTTATCGTTGTATTCCGTTGTGTGTATGTGCCATAGTTTGTTTATCCATTCATCTGTTGATAGGCACTTAGGTTGTTTCCATCTTTTTGCTGTTGTGAACAATGCTGCAATGAACATGAAATGTGCGTATGTCTATTCTTATGATGGCTCTTATTTCTCTAGGATATATTCCTAGAAGTGGGATTGCTGGATTGTATGGTATTTCTATTTCTAGATTTTTAAGGAGGTCTTATATCATTTTCCATAGTGATTATAGCATTTTACATTCCCATCAGCAGTGCATAAGAGTTCCAGTCAACCTCGCCAACATTTGTTATTTTCTGTTTTATGATTATTATTGGTGCCAGTAATGTCGGGGTGAGGTAGTATCTCATTGCAGTTTTGATTTGCCTTTCTCTAATGGATAATGATCGTATTTCCTCATGTGTCTCTTAGCTGCCTGAATGTCTTCTTTGGTGAAGTGTCTGCTCTTATCCTTTGTCCATTTTTAATTGAGTTACTTGTCTTTTTGTTATTGAGGTATTCCACAGATTTTAGAGATCAGACCCTTGACGGATATGCCATAGCCAGTTTTTTCCCCCAGTTTGTAGGTTCTCTTTTTATTCATTTGGTGAAGTTGTTTGATGAGCATAAGTGTTTAATTTTGAGGAGCTCCCAGTTATCTAGTTTATCTTCTGGTGTTTGTGTATTGTTAGTTATGGTTTGTACTGTAGTTATGCCATGTATTAGGGCGCCTAGTGTTGTCCCTATTTTTTCTTCCATGATCGTTATAATTTTAGGTTTTATATTTAGTTCTTTGATCCATTTTGAGTTAATTTTTTGTGTATGGTGTGAAGTATGGGTCCTGTTTCATTTTTTTACAGATGGAAATCCAGTTTTGCCAGCACCATTTGTTAAACAGACTGTCTTTTCCCTCCATTTAATGGACTTTGGTCCTTTTCAAAGATTAGCTGACCATTAAGTGGATGGATTTATGTCTGGGTTTTCAGTTCTGTTCCATTGGTCTATGTGTCTGTCGTTGTACGAGTAGCAGGCTGCTTTGACTACCTTGGCTATATAATAGGTTCTGAGATTATGTAGTTTGAGGTTTCCTGCTTTGTTCTTTTTCTTCAATAATTTGTTCCCTAACTGGGGCCGGAGCAGAAGTTTTTAATTTTAATGAAGTCTAACTTACCAATTCTTCTTTTATGAATCATGCTTTTGGTGTTTTATCTAAAAGTCATCACCAAACCCAAGGCAAGTTAGATTTTCTCCTAGGTTATCTTCTAGGGAGCCCTGGTGGTACAGTGGTTAAAAGCTCGGCTGCTAACCAAAAGGACGGCAGTTTGAATCCACCAATTGCTCCTTAGAAACCCTATGGGGCAGTTCTACTCTGTCCTATAGGATCGCTATGGGTCAAAATTGACTCAACAGCAATGATTTTTTTTTTCATCTTCTAGAAGCTGTATAGTTTATTTTGCACCTTACATTTATATCTAAGATCCATTTTGAACTGATTTTTGTGAAATATGTAACATTTGTGTCTAGATTAATTTTTTGTATGTGGATGTACAGTTGTTCAAGTAATTATACTGCACATGTGGGAGGAGGGCAAATAGTTTTTAGCTAGAGGGCTGACTGTAATGGTTTAAAAATATACCTCCAAATTCTTTAATGGCATCCCTTCAAGAGATGGATCTTAATACCCCTTCCGTTGAGTGTGGAATGAACTTAGTGACTTTCTTCCACCAAATAAAATATGGTAGAAGTGACAGCGTATTTCTTCTAAGACTAGGTCATAAAAAACACTGAAGCTTCCTCCTCATTGCTCTCTTAGATCACTCACTCTAGGGGAAGTTAGCTCTATAGAACACTCAAGCAGCCCATGAAGAGGCCCATATGCCGAGGAACTAAGGCTTTCTGCCACAGTTATATGAGTGAATCATCTTGGAAGCAGATCCTCCAGCCCCAGTTGAGCCTTCATATGACTGCAGCCCCAGCTAACATCTTAACTGTAACCTCATGACAGACCCTGAGCCAGAACCATTCAGCTAAGCTGTTCCCAGATTCCTGTCCATCAGAAACTGTGTGAAATAATAAATGTTTATTATTTTAAGCTACTAAGTTTGGAGTAATTTGTTATCCAGAAACAGATAACTCATACACCAGATCTTTATCAAAAGGAGGAAATTATATACAGACAGTATATAATTTATTTGTTACCTGCCTAGCCTCTGTAGGCATTTGAGTTTGTGGCTCCTGTAAAATAATCACAAGGTCACTTTCTTCCATTAGATTTCATACACATACATCTCTAAGGCAAGCCTCATAACATCCCTTTATTTGGTATCCCTTCCCCTAGGATGACTAATTCAATAAGCCCTCCAATAAATCCTTGTTAGTTACCAGGAGGAGAAGTACAATGGAGACACAAAGTAGAGACTTGTGGAGTGTCTGTTCTACTCAATTTCCCAGCCTCTATATTAGGTTCTTTGGAGCCCTGGTGGCCCAGTTATTAAGAGCTCAGCTGCTAACCAAAAGGTTGGCAGTTCGAATCTACCAGCAGCTCCTTGGAAACCCTATGGGGCAGCTCTACTCTCTCCTATAAGGGTCGCTATGAGTCGGAATCAACTCGACAGCAATGGGTTTGGTTTTCTGGTATATTAGATTCTTTGCTCACAATATTTGTTTGGAACTAGGTAAGAAATTCACAACTTCTGATCAAGTATGATAAGAGTAACAATCCTAAAAGGGGCCCAAATCAAATAGAAATTAATCATATATATTAGGTTGAACCGTACGAAATTGCCAATATTTAACTGCTAAAACAGCAGTGCCATACGGGTCAATCTAATAATTTTTTTTTTAACATATCCAGTCCACTCCCAATTTTTCCCTGCACTCCTCTAGCAGGCTAGCATTGTGACTCCAGCTGGATGGATATTATATGACAAAGATCAATCGTTGGTGCCTTCCTGGGAGATGGGCCTCTCTGTGCAAGATGTCTGAATCTCAACAGGCAAGGTCAGTGCTGCCCAAGCCAGCTTCTGTGTGTCTTTGTGAGATTGAGTTTATAACCCAAATGTGCAGCTTGTCTTTTGGTCTTAGGGTTTGACCTTAATCCTTTCCTTTCTTGTCATGTTTGATTCCCACTGTTGGAGGGTGAGGGACAAGAGAGGTTTAGGTGGAGAGCTTCAGCAGCCAGGGGCAGTGAGGTGATGGCAGTATCCAGGCACAGGGCTGGACACAGAGGGTGGAATTGCTGTCTAGGACACACACCTGGGCTGACCACCATGGCGATAAAGCCATACCACCTACTGTGCTCTTAGTTTTTAACCTGCCTCTTATTCTGGGTCCATTTTGCTTTTGATTCTTCACTGTGAAAAAACCAACAAGTTCCTACGTGATATCACTGCCCTGGTCAGCTACGACTCCCCCCATTCACTAACTAACAAATACTGGGGTGGGATAACACAAAGCAGAAAGCGGCTTAGCTCTAGAGAGGCGTTTGCTTGTGTCCAAGTGTACTGTAGCAGAGGTTTGGCAGGTTTAGGGACCAAAGGGTGCCAAAGACTCCTAGACAGGGGGAATTGGGAAACCAGCTTGTTCTTTCTTGCCTCCTACCTCCCCCCACCCCCACCAAATTCCAGTTCACCTCAATAACTGCCAGACATGACAAAGAAGAGACAGACAATGTATTCCACATCACCCAAGCCGGAGGCAAGGCAGGAACAAGGAAGAGGAGTGCAAGCTGGTCTGAAGTCCTTCCCTTGCTGATTCCCTCCACTGATGAGAGGGCATCCTATTCACGGGTTGGGGAAGGGTGAGGAGAGGGATTCAGACGAATGGACAGAACCTGGTGCCTAGGATACCTCAGAAGAGGTTACAGAGACGTCTTCTTTTTTCTTGGGGTTCGAGGCTTCCATCTGGCTGCCAGTGATCTCTGTGTTCTCACTCAAGGAGTCTTTGACTGAGCCGAAACTGCTACTGCATGGCACGGTGTCAAAGGGATGCGTCAGAACCAGATTCCCGAATTTTTTTTGGTTGAAGTAGCAAAGAACCGCTAGGAAAGGATACAGAATGGGAGAGAGGAAAGTTGGAGAGTGGGAGGGAAAGTGACAAGCAGGGTGAGGCCAAAGGGAAGACAAGTCCCTAAGAACCTATCCCTGGGGATTGACACCCACCTCCCTCCACACGTTCTCTGCTCTGACCCACCCATGTCCCCTTCTCCCCCCAGGACCCTCCTGGTCACTTACCACAGGTAACATATAGGAAAAACACCAGCCAACCAATGAAGTAGCTCCAGCCAATGGGGATTGATAAATTCCTCTTCCACTCAAAGATCCAGAGGTTAATTGGGAACAACATGAGGGTGAAGAAAATGAAGGTGACTGGGAGACAGGAAGTAGAGAGGTCTCATTCTCATCCAAGAATCCCACAGGGACTCTTCCTCATCTGCTGAGCTACAGCTACAAACCACAACTCCCATCACCACACATAGAGTCATGGCCCCAGAGGTTCATGGGAACCAGCCCCTCTCCCTCCCCTTCTCAAGATGCTGGGAAATGATGTATCACAACTCTCAGCCAACAACTGCTAGTTCTGTTCTCCCGCCACCCACAAAACCCCTAAGAAGGGAAAAGGGAGAAGTGTCCAGGAAGGAGTGGGTTAGGAGAAATTAAGGACCTTTTCCAGAGCTAGGGGGCACCTTCACAGAAGCTCATGATGGTCCCAATCCAGCCAAAGGAAGGCAATCTCTGAAGACCAGGCAAGTATTGCAGGTGCAACCAGAGAGTGAGAACAAAGCCCAGCCCAAGGGCCAAGCAGAAGCTTATTTTGGCGACCCCATAGAGTGGCTGACTTGTCCATTGCTTAAAAGACTCTGGGGGGAATGAAAAACAGAATGAATTAAGGAGTCACAAAAAAGGAAATGTAATCAGATGAGCAAATATGAGAAAATGTTCAGGCTCATTAATAACCAAAGATATGCAAATTTGAAACAACAATGAACTATCACTTTCACTTATTAAATAAGCAAAGATTCTTGACATTGAGATTGTTTGATAATACCAACCATATGAAAAAGAATACCTCAGTAGAAAAAAATGGACAGAGGACTTGAACTGAAATTCTCAAAAGAAGAAATACATACGTCCAATAAACATATGCAACTCAACACAAAGATGCGCAAATTAAATGAGTTTTTTTTTAAATTTATCAGATTAGCAAAGATAAAACTAAATTGATGATACCGAGTGTAGGAGAGGTGCTCTCACATATTGCTGGTGGGCAGCACTTCTGATAAGTAATTTGGCACAATGTATCCAAAAAATCCAAATTGTTAAGGCCCTGTGACCCAGCAATGCTACTTAGAAATTATGTTAAGAAAATAATCAGAGATGTACACCAAAATCTATGTACAGGGATCTTCTTTGCAGAGATATTTATATATCCAATAAGAGGTTTGTTAAATAAATTATTGTTATCGTTAGCTGTCGTCAAGTCCGACCCAACTCATGGTGACCCCAAGCACAATGGGATCAGACCACTGTGATCCATAGGCTTTTCCTTGGCTGATTTTCAGAAGTAGATCACCAGGCCTTTCTTCCTAATCCATTTTAGACTGGAAGCGCTACTGAAACCTGTTCAGTATCACAGCAACACAAAAGCCTCCACCAACAAATGAGTGGTGGCTGAGGTGCAAATTATAGTATAAGCCATACACTAGATTATCATTAAAAATGGTAATATGATAGATGCTTATCTCCAAATAGAATTTCCCTGGGAAGAAACTGGTAGTGGTGGTGGCCTCTGGGGAGGGAGACTGAAAGAGGAGATACGAGACTAACTTCACTATATAATCTTTTGTAGTTTTTAAATTTTTCACTCCGTTCATATACTACCTAATCAAATAAATTTTAAAACTTAGTGATGTTATAGAAGAATTATTTAATGACACGAGTAAATGCTTACAACTGAAAAGTGGAGTTTGCAAAATAGAATAAATAGAAAGATTGCAATTTTTAAAAATATATATAAATGCACAAAAATCATATACACTTACATAGGGTATAAATATATATAAATATTTAAACATAAATATATAGTAAAGCACTGGGAAGTAAATCCATTACAATGTCAACAGTGATTATATCCATGTGGGGAAATTTTAGGTGATTTTTTTTCTTAAATTTTTCTCGTAATAACTGTGTGACTTTTTACTCAGAAAAAAGAAACCTATATATTTAAAGTTGACAGTCATTGCTGGCAAAGGTACAATGAAACACACCTTCTCACACATTGTTAGTAGAGGTGAAAATTGCTATAATACTTTTTGAAATCAATATGGAAAGTTTTAGTAAGAACTTTAAAATATTTACTCTCTTCAGTTCAGTAAACCCACTTTGGGAATCTTCCCTAAAGAATTCATACTAAATACAGAAAAAGCTTTATAATGAACAAGCTTTATCAGCCCTTTTTTTTTTTTCAACTATGAAATTGGAAATAAATTTTCCAAGAATAGGGAAATAAAATAGTCAAGTTAAAGATGATGAATCTATAAAATTGAATATTATTGTCATTTATAATGAAGAAATGTTTATTACGTATTATAAAGTCAATTTTAAAAGAAATGAAATTGTTTATGAAGAATGAGTACAACTATGCAAAAAAGCATTCAAAACTTGTTCAATTAAAATAAAAAAAAAACCTGGAAAAAACTGAGTGTGCATCAAACTGTTACTAGTAGCTGTCTTTGTGTAGTACCATACACCAAGGTGCTAACATGAGTTTTGGAGCCAGACACAACAGAGTTATAATTCTAAACCTGCCATCATTAGGTTGATCCATATGAAGTTGCTCCTTTTGTAGGGGAAAAGCAGTCAATAGTGGCAATTTCATTTGGTTCAACCTAATAGCTTGATAGCCCTGATCAAGGTACTTAATCTGAGTCTCAGTTTTCTCATCTGTAATATAAGGATAATTATCCCTATCTCTTAGGGTTGACTGGGGATTAAACTGGACAAATAGAGTAAGTGCAATATGATACCTTTGTTCCCCCACATTTATTGTAATAAGGATGTATTACTTTCATAACAGGAGAAAACAATAGCTGTGTAACTTTATTTATTGTTTTACAACATTAAGGAGAGTGAAGAAATGGCAATGGGGATCAAAAGCTCTGATTTTCCAAAGCTCTCATTTTTCAAATTCATGGTGATCCCATGTATGTCAGAGTATAACTATGCTCCATAGGGTTTTCAATGGTTGATTCTTCAGAAGTAGATCACCAGGCCTTTCTTCCAAGGCACCTCTGGGTGGACTCGAACCTCCAACCTTTCAGTTAGCAGCTGAGTGTGTTAACTTTTTGCACCACCCCAGGGGAAAAGGAAGGAAGAGGGAACCCAAACTTGGAAAAAGGAAAAGCTCTCGGAGACCCAGAGCTGACCCAGAAAAGCAAGGCCTGAGGCAGAAGGGAAAGAAAGTGGCTGGGGCCAGGGCACTGGGGAGAGGATTCCAGGGACTCCTCTCAAAGTCTGAGTCTACAGGACTAGAAGAAGGAAACCCCTACCTCCTTGGGGCTCCTGGTTCTTCTCCAAGGAAAACTGAGGAATTATGGGGTTAATGGAGTCCCTGGGTGACTCAAAAACTAACCAAAAGATTGGCAGTTCTGAACGCACCAGAGGCCTTGGAAGAAAGGGCCTGGCGATCTGCTTCCCAAAGGTCACAGCCTTGAAAACCCTATAGGGCACAGTTCTACGAGGAAACACATGGGATCACTATGGGTCAGAATCCATTCGTCATCAACTGGTTTGGTGTTTTATTTTTTCACGTGCTGAAAGTCCACGCCCACACAACTTTTTGATAAGCACAGACTTGATCTGAGCCTTATTAAAAGCAGTTGACATTTTCCAATGAGTCAGGCAAACCTATTTGGCTGGGCTGGGGGAGGAGAAGTGATCCTTGGAGGTCTCACTGCCAGCAGAGCTATCTGGTGGGCCACGGGGTGGGGATGCCCAGAGGGAGGGGGCCAGGACCCCAGGAGGGCAGATCCAGAGGTTCTGGCAGGCTGGAGGCCCTGGATTGGGGCGGGGCTGGGCCTCACCTTTCCCGTGCTGCAGGGTGTAACAGCTCCTGGATTTGCAGATCTGCAGGAGCCCCATGGACATGATATGGGCCTTGGTGTGGATTCTGGCACTGACATTCGCCGGCCAACGCTGATAGAAGCGGCTTCCAGAGAGGTACAGCCATTTCTTGGAGAAGACCATCACAAGCAGCAGGATGAAGGCGATCAGGCTGAGCTCTGAGGCCAGCACCTGCGATATCCAGCTGGAGCTAGATGTCCATCGCATGGGCAGTATGAAGTCCTGGCGGTGGGCCGTGGCCAACTGCCTGTTACTGTCAGAGGTGGAGACCAGAACCTCCTCTCTTGTCCCAGCCTCCCTTCTACTCCATGTGGCTTCCCAGCCCTCCCCTTCCTTCCCAGGCCTCTGCTGCTCACCCCTTTCTCCTCCTGACCTACGAAGTTCATCCCAAAGGCCCCTGCTCCCTTCTGGAGAAAGCCTTGTCTCCCTTTCTATCGTCCACCACATCTCCCCGTTCCCTTGCAGGCTCAGTTGTCCCGCATCTTTTAAATATTTTCATCGGGTAGAATAGTTGCCATCATAGGGCCTGGAGTCTGGCACCTTATTAGGCACCTGAGCACCTGATCCAGGGAAAGGCCCCCAACCCACTCACAGGACAGAGCCCCTAACTGTCATGGAATATTCTTGGAGGCAGTGAGATGGGGGTGGGGGCCCATGGCCCTTCACCTTCAACTCCAACTCTTCTGCTCCTTCAGGCCCCAGCTCGGAACTGTGGATCTGATGCCTCCCTTCTTCAGCTATTGGCCTCCCTTTGCTAAGAACAATGGTCTCCGAGAGTCCCCTTCTCTCTTCCCATTTCCTCCTCTGCCCTAACCCCCACCCCAAGTGCTCACTATTGGGGAGGGAAAGGAAAAGGGGCTTATTCCCAGGAAAACACCCCTCCATTGCTCTTGGAGTCCCTGGATGGCACAAACAGTGAAGTGCTCTATTACTAACCTAAAGGTTGATGGTTTGAACCCACCCAGAGGCACCTAGGAAAAAAAGCCTGGAGATCTGCCTCCCGAAGGTCGCAGCCTTAAAAACCCTAAGGAGCGCAATTCTACTCTGCACACATGGGGTCTCCATGAGTAGAATTGACTCTACAGCAATTGGTTTGGTTTTGGTTTTCCCATTGCTCCTTGGAAATGTCTTCCAAATGTGTAATCAACCTCTCAGTACTTCCACCACCCTCCCTCCCCACTACTCACTTCTGCTCCACAGTCGCCAGTCCCTTCCCTCATCTCTTTGTTTCTGCTTCCCTCCACTTTTCTCAGCACCAGAAGGGGGAGTACACAGGATGAGGGGGTGTGAGGGTGTCAAACAGCCTGATATTTTTCCAACCTCCCTTTTAAGCTACAGGAAAATAAATCTGAGTCATCCATGATAGCCTGATGCTAGTGGCTTCTAGACATCAGCTAAAAAAATAAATCCAAACCCATGCAGTTGAGCCGATTCCAACTCATGGCGACTCCATGTGTAATAGAGCAGAACTGCTCCATAGGGTTTCCTGGGCTGTAATCTTCACGGAAGCAGATCGCCAGGCCTTTCTTCTTCAGCACTGATGGGTGGGTTCAAACTGCCAACTTTTAGGTTAGTAGTCGAGTGCAAACTGTTTGCACCACCCAGGAAGCCCAAATCTCAGCTAGCTCCCTAGAATTGTCATGAGAAAGCCTTTCAAATTTAGGATGTGAGTTTGAATTCCACAAAAGTTGGTTTACTTTAGGGAGACAGTGGTGCCTGTAGTTAAGAACGTAAGCTTTAGAATCCAACAGGCCCTGTTGTTAGGTATATCGAGCCAGTTCCAACTCATAGACACCACCGTATGTACAATAGAATGAAACACTGCTTGGTCCTACGCCATCTCCACAATCTTTGCTATGTTTGAGTTGATTGTTGCAGCCACTCTGTCAAGCCATCTTGTTGACGGTCTTCCTCTTTTTTGCCGACCCTCTACTTCATCAAGCATGATGTCCTTCTCCAGGAACTCGTCCCTCCTGATAACATGTCAAAGTACATGAGACGAATTCTCCTCATCCTCATTTCTAAGGAGCATTCTGGCTGTACTTCTTCCAAGACAGATTCATTCTTTCTTCCGGCAGTCCATGGTATATTCAATATTCTTCACCAATACCATAATTCAAAGGCATCAGTTGTTCTTCAGTCTTCCTTATTCATTGTCTAGCTTTCGCATGCATATGAGAGATTGAAAATACCATGGCTTGGGTCAGGCGCACCTTAGTCCTCAAAGCGACATCTTTACTTTTAAACACTTTAAAGAGGTCTTTTGCAGCAGATCTGCCCAACGCAATACGTCATTTAATTTCTAGACTTCTGCTTCCGAGGGTGCTGATTGTGGATCCAAGTAAAATGAAATCCTGGACAACTTCAATCTTTTCTCTGTTTATCATGATGTTGCTTATTGGTTCAGTTGTGAGGATTTTTGTTTTATTTGTGTTGAGGTGTAATCTATACTGAAGGCTGTAGTCTTTCATCTTCTTCAGTAAGTGCTCCAAAGTCCTCTTCACTTTCAGCAAGCAAGATTGTGTCATCTGCATATCACAGGTTGTTAATGACTCTTCCTCCAATCCTGATGCCCCGTTCTTCTTCATATTCTCCGGCTTCTTGGATTATTTGCTCAGCATACAGGTTGAATAAATACGATAGAAGGATACAGCCCTGAAGCACACCTTTTCTGATTTTAAACCACGCAGTATCCCCTTGTTCTGTTCAATGACTGCTTCTTGGTCTATGTACAGGTTCGCACGAGCACAATTAAGCGGTCTGGAATGCCCTTTCTTCAAAATGTTATCCATAGTTTGTTATGATCCACACAGTCGAATGTCTTTACATGGTCAATAAAACATAGGTAAACATCTTTCTGGTATTCTCTGCTTTCAACCAGCTCCATCTGACATCAGCAATGATATCCCTCATTCCACCTCCTCTTCATTGTGCTCATGAGGAACCTGTACATAGACCAATAGGCAGTAGTTGGAACAGAACAAAGGGATACTGCATGGTTTAAAGTCAGGAAAGGTGTGTATCAGGGTTGTATTCTTTCACCATAACTGTTCAGTGTGTATGCCGAGCAAATAGTTATTAACTTGCGATATGCAGATGACATAATCTTGCTTGCTGAAAGTGAAGAGGACTTGAAGCACTTACTGATGAAGATCATAGACCACAGCCTTCAGTATGAATTACACCTCAACATAAAGAAAACAAAAATCCTCACAACTGGACCAATAAGCAACATCATGATAAACAGAGAAAAGATTGAAGTTGTAAAGGATTTCATTTTACCTGGATCCACAGTCAACGCCCATGGAAGCAGCAGCGGAGAAATCAAAGGACACATTGTATCGGGCAAATCTGCTGCAAAAGACCTCTTTAAAGTGTTAAAAAGCAAAGATGTCACTTTAAGGACTAAGGTGTGCCTGACCCAAGCCATGGTGTTTTCAATCACCTTATATGCATGTGAAAGCTGGACAACTAATAAGGAAGACTGAAGAAGAATCCAAGCCTTTGTTGGTGAAGAACATTGAGTATACCACGGACTGCCAGAAGAATGAACAAATCTGTCTTAAAAGAAGTACAGCCAGAATGCTCCTTAAAAGCAAGGATGGCGACACTTCATCTCACATACTCTGGACATTATCAGGAGGGACCCGTCCTGGAGAAGGACATAATGCTTGGCAGAGTAGAGAGTCATTGAAAAAGAGGAAGACTCTCAACAAGATGGATTGACACAGTGGCTGCAATGATGGGCTCAAGCATAACAGTGATTGTGAGGATGGCACAGGACTGGGCAGTGTTTCATTCTGTTGTACATAGGGTCACTAGGAGTTGGAATCAACTCGACGGCACCTAACAACAACGTCCTGTTCTGAATCCAGCTTGAATTTCTGGCAGTTCCCTATTGATGTACTGCTGCAGCTGCTTTTGAATTAACTTCAACAAAGTTTTACCTGTGTGTAATACTAATGATATTGTTCAATAATTCTGTTGGATCACCTTTCTTTGGAATGGGCACAAATATGGATCTTTTCCAGTCGGTTGGCCAGGTAGCTGTCTTCCAAATTTCTTGGCATAGATGAGTGAGCACTTCCAGCGCTGCTTCTGTTTGTTGAAACATCTCAATTGGTGTTCCATCAATTCCTGGAGCCTTGTTTTTCACCAATGCCTTCAGTGCAGCTTGGACTTCTTCCTTCAGTATCGTAGGTTCCTGATCATATGCTACCTCCTGAAATGGTTGAACATCCACCAATTCTTTTTGGCACAGTGACTCTGTGTATTCTTTCCATCTTCTTTTGATGCTTCCTGCATCGTTCAGTATTTTGCCCATAGAATCCTTCAATATTGCAGTTCAAGGCTGGAATTTTTCCTTCAGTTCTTTCAGCTTGAGAAATGCTGAGCATGTTCTTCCCTTTTGGTTTTCTAACTGCAGGTCTTTGCACATGTCATTCTAATCTTTACTTTATCTTCTCAAGTTGTCTTTTGAAATCTTCTGTTCACCTCTTTTACATGATCATTTCTTCCATTTGCTTTAGCTACTCTATGTTCAAAAGCAAGTTTCAGAGTCTCTTCTGATATCCATTTTGGTCTTTTCTTTTGTTGGGGGAATGGTCTGCCTCTACACTTCTCATCCAGGCTGCCTAAGTAAAGGCCTTGGGCCCAGAACATTCTCTGATAAGGATGCTTGGAATTGGGCCAGCTTCTCTCTCTCAGTTTCTTCTCCTTGTCAGAGAAGCCTTCCCCCTGTTCTGGGCACAGAGTAACTTTCTCTGTCTCTTGAACATGCACAGGCACCATATGGCACTTAGCCAACCCCACTTCTATATCTGTTCCTGGCTGAAGGGAACAGGTCTCTTGTACTATGGCAAAAGAGGGGAAGCGTGCCAGATTGTAAGAGCTAGCCTCAAGGGGTGGACTGAAGGGGAAACAGGCTTTGCGAGGCTGAATATGAGTGCCCTCATGTGGTCCACTAGTTCAGTATAGTTTGCTAAGTCATCCTTATGTAAGTCCCTGGCATATAGCCACTATTTTCCACTGCCACTACAAAACCTCTGCCCTCTGTGAGGAGATCTGCTTTGGTCCTGCAGCCAACCAGTACTCACCTCATTTGTAAGTCTCCCTAATAAATTCCTTTGCTGCCACCCTGGAGTTGCCTGCCTCTTTCTTAGGTCACTCAGTGCCCTCCGTTTTTAGAGACAAGTTTCATGCTATTG